CATGAAAAGATCACAAATACAATGCTTATAGTTATTGTTGGTGGCACCAGTGGATAAGTGTTGAAACTGAACACTCTTGGGAAGATTGAGCCCCAGCATCAAACTGGTGATTGACACATCAATAGTACTATTTGACCCATTGTTTCTGTAAATATTAATTATACACACACCTACTTCATAATCATCAATAAACGGTAGCTTTTGATAACACAGAAGTGTTTCAAGAGAACCTCTTGACCGTTTTAAAATGGCGGAAAACACTAGATCAAATTTAATAAACTTTTAAATTAATTCAGCTTTACTTACTGAACATTGATCCCGCCACGTGGGATGATATTCGCCCATGCAAGGATTTAAATTTTATTTTTTTTAAACCCCATGAATTGAAACTCAATAAGGATGTTCAAAAGTAATGCATTACACAAGTCCCGCTATCTTTACATTTTTTTTTACTTATTTGTACATTTAGCAGTTTTCCGCAGTCATTTCTGACGCTATAAATTTAGTTACATTATTTAAAAAAAATCACTATTTTGAACTCCAAAACGGATGCCAAAGCTTTATGATTTAAATATTCAGAATCTTAAAGAAATTAAATGTGTAAAAGTAAGCAGCATATTAAAAATCCGTTCTTGTTTTAACAATTGAAGATGTTCAAAAAGACAAAGGTAAAAAGCAACATATTTTTATTACTGAAAGCGAAACCAAAGTCCTCAACCTGTTGATATAGAAATTATGCCGTCTTAACCTCTTATTTTTCATTTTATCAGAAACAAAAAATAAGATATTTCAATTGCGGCAACACAAACCTTGTTATTATCCCCCCTTTATCTCATTAATCTTTAAACGAGGTCGGTGTCCCCAATATGTGTTGATGATGTGGAATACCTTGTGTGTTTTTTAAAGAAATTTCTAACGACAGAATAGAACAGAGGCATTTGTAATAATTATCTGCGGCTACACTTTGGAGTATATTTCATAGAACAACGGCATGAACATTACATCCCATCAAAAGGAACATCTAAAAGTTCTACTTCAAACTATGAACTCAAAACTGGAAAAAAGAATTGATGTACATTCCATCGACCGAATGTATTTGAAGTGAGAGCCTTGACTTTGATATTGTAAATTTTTTTCACTGCAAGAACCTGAAGTTACTAGTTTAGATGAAAATTGAAATACATTTACCTAGCGTACTTGGCGGGCCTTTTAAAGATCACATGACAATTTATCTGTTTGGAAGAAATGCATGCTAAATTTATTCCATAAAAGCAAAACCAATGACATTGTCTTGCTGAGTATGATTCATAACATACTATAATATTTATTATAGGATTAAACATTTTTTTTCTGGAGGTCATTTATGTGTAACTCACAAACTGATTAAAAGTCCGTAGAGTTTGTGTGAGTAAATCGGCCAAGTTTACACGTCAATAACCTCTAGAAAAAATGATCTTTTCCCTTAAACATTCAATTTTAACCTAAACTTTTTATTCATTTCTTTTAATTTCAACTTTCTTGGAACCCCAGGATTCCGCACATGTGCATCGCGTATGAATATAGCACAGCGAAATTAACAAAGAGTTTACATGAGGAACGAATGTATCTCAGGCAACATGCATGGGCTATCAAAGTGTAAGCTAAAGAAATAAGTTCTAATGGACAAATCACATTCAAGTATTTGTAGATATGCAAATCATCTAAAAATTACCTACTTATGCACTGCAATTTGATTTAGTTAACAATTTGATGCGTCAAATTCAGAAAATTGATCTAAATTTCACTTAATTGAAAAATAAAAAAAAGAATATACAGTATGTCAGTTGAAGAAATTTTAATTAAAAATTGTTTTCCAGTCTGTGATGCCAATGTTGTTATCATGTAGCAAACGCGAGTAATGATTATCTTTTGGATTTTTAAGTTTGGCCAAGCAAACGTTGCTGTTTAATCTTTATACATCTTATATTTTGTGGAAACTTATTTCGTACTAACTACCACTTCAGTTTCATTTGTCGTAGTCATATCCCGTGATTTATTTCTCGTCTACACGTCATTAAATATACATCGTAATGCTGTCAGTGTAAAAGTGTAAAAGTGTAAAAGTGTAAAGTTGACATGTTGACTGCTAAAAACTGAGTCCGTTTTACTTTATACGTAAATTTTACAAAAAAATAACCTTTTCTTCAAAAAACCTCAGTACACGTTTCGTATCATTCCATGAAGGTTTAAACACATTTTTGAAGTATACAAATATTTCACCAAAACTATGTAAATGTTAACTGCAAAATAATATATTTCCATTTGTCAGTAAAAGTGAAAAAAAAGATATATTTTCTCAATTCTCCTTTCAATTTTATCTCCTTATCATAATAAGCTTCTGTTCAAGTTTCTATTCTATGAAAGTTTGACAAATTTATTGATGTTTAAAAACAAACTTTAACACAGGACAGTATCTTAATATCAAGATAAGAGGATGCGTGTTGGGGTAAATTCAGTAAATAAATATACGTCTTCAGGGACTGCCCTTTTGGGGGAGAGCTTTCTGTATAACACTGAAGTCCTGTGCTCTTCTGATTGGCAGTTAATGTTTGTAATAAATAATTGTTGATAAATGGATCAAAACTAGAGTTAAAAAATAGTTTAAAAATGAATGCTGAATGCCCGTAATTTTTTTACTACAGGGTTGAAAAGTAATGGGGTCAGTATTGGAATTTAGTGCGAATTTACAGTATTTGTAAATAAGGCCATGTGAATGGCCCCAAAATGCCGCATGACCCTATGTTTTTATTGTTGCAAAAGATGGGGCTACATTTGTACTATAATGAATGATATATGGAAGCTTCTGATTTCTAAAGGTTAACCAGCTATAAATTTAATTCAAGACAGATTTGCATTAAAGTTAATGGGAGATTTTTTTACTGAATTTACCACTGTTGTATGAATGCCAATGAGAAAACTTCTACAGTGTTAACTGCTAGAAAATGTAAGTCCTTTTATCAGTGAAATACGGAAAAAGTGAGGAAAATAATTTTTTTCTGGATACTGTCTATTGATCACGAAGAAGTTTCTGTTCAAGTAGTTTGACTTTCCGTGAAGGTTTGACATAGTAATGGATGTCTGAAAAACTTATCTTAATCACTGCAAAAATATTATAACATTAAAATGAAGGTTCGACAAAGTTATTAGTAATTAGTGATGTCGCCAAAAAAGTTTGACCACAGACTAAACCACCACACTCTATACAATAATCGAATGACGATGACGCCAACGACGAAATGTGAATCGCTAGGTATGCTTCAGCGACATTCATGGTAGGCGTAATAAGAGAACTGAAAGAAACATTAGGATTAAACAAACAAAAATAGGTTCAGTTGAACTAATTTCTTTCTGTACAAAAGAAACAAACCACAAAAATTTTTATTTTTTTAATGACAAGAATAACGTTTAAAATTTAAATATAACTGTTCGGTCTCATTGTGTAATTTTTATATATTTTATTATAAACACATTTGTACTACATTGAAAATCAACTATTCACGTGCATATATTTTATATTTTTCTGCATGTGAAAACTAATATTCCACGTCGGCTTTATCTATAATGCATCAAATTTCTCACTGGTAGTCAAGGCCAGTGTGCGTTGTTGCATCAGAGATGAAGTTTTACTTCCAAGTCTGATAAACAGAGGTCAAAGATAATTGTAAATATTTATACTAAATCTAGCTGAAGTACAAGTAAAGAGAACAAGTGGTCGATTTAACTGATATACAACAGAACTGGTTATCTCAAAAGCCTACGATAGAAAACAAGTTCATAGGAGTATATAGTAGCTTTATTGTATTCAAATATGAAAAATTTTAGTGAAACTAATTGCATAATTAATTTTTAAGTATATTTTTTTAGTTTAAAGATATTTTGTTTACCGGTATCTGTTTCTGTATGATGTTTCATTGAAACGTTAACACTTTTCTAATTGAATATTTTTTTAGAAATTAACCAACTCGAAATTTAGTTCACTGCGACTCGCTGATTATTTATCAATTCGAACGATTGAAATTTTGTCTTTTAGAGAACCGACTACGTCCATGTGAACCCTACCGATGCACATTCAGGTGTACATGTCGATATCAAAACGAATACATCCTTAGTTATTTTGACAAAATACTAAAACCATACTAATCATCAGTGTACAAATGTATTAGTGAACACGATGATGGATGGATGGATGGATGGATGGATGGATGGCTGCTTAACGTCCAGCGGCAAATTAAAAGCACATTCAAATCGATAGTACACACGAGATGCTTACTGTTTCAGGGCACCTATAACTCAACATTATTGTTTATCACTAGTTTTCTTGTGTGCGTTTTTTTTTCTGGCAATATTGTTATTTTTTGTTTGTCTGTTCCACCATCAGCATTACAATAGGCAAATATCTGTTTCATTATTATATATGTATATGTTTAAACCTATCTGATTGTCATGATAATGATAACTGATTTCCTTTCGCTAATAAGACACGGGCGTATCTTGTCAAGTGGCTCATTACTATTTGTTGGTCCACTTATCCTTATCTACATCAATGTACATTTAGTGCACAAGTGCACAAGTGAAAGCGTGCGATGCTAAAAACGTGCTTCGTGGTACATGTGATATATACATAATATAGGAACTTATAGTTAAATATTTTTTTATTCTGACTTTTTAAAAGAGATTGTGATTTAATATAGTTATAGTGTAAACACAAATAAGAGTTATAACACTTTTTGTATATTTTCTTTTAATCTGCCTTAAGAGATTGCTATACTAAAGATAAATAATTTGTAAGTAATAGTGCAAACACATATACGCACTTTTCATAAATTTTTTAGTAATAAATACTTGACAAATTTTGAAAACAAATGTAATATTAAAGATTATAATGCAGTGACTTCAGTTATAAGAGTATAAAAATAAAACACATGTGCGATGCATGTAGAATTAATTAAAGTTTTACTTACATATCCACAGCAAAAACGACACAAATATGAATAAAACTAATCCAGTCTTCATTGATGAAGTTAACGTCTGTACTCAATTAAATTTTGTTATGAGGGAAATCAGTTTTCAACTGACACTTAATGATGGAAACTAGTCACGTGGTTTAGATTCTGAAATTTAAACGAAGGAAATGGTCATTATCAGTATTAGAGTTAGTCAACAAATTTGAAGTGTTTTTTTAAAGTTGAGAGCAAATTAGCTTCTGTACAAATACGTACACAAACAAAGCAGACTGACAGACGGCATTAATAACAAATTTTAAAAAATAAAAGTGGGACACTTACTGTACTTATTTGTAGACATGAGCATTACCGGACTCGGGTCTCAAACAACAAGAAAAATGTCAATCAAAACAATATGATTATTTCGGTATTTATATTTGAAAACTGTACATAAGAGCAGAAAATATTCACAAAAAAACAACCGACGTTTGATTTATCAAAAGTACTAATTAATTCAAAAGGATAAGAAGATACAAAGAGGGCAATCAAAGACAACAAGTCAAAGAAATACAGACAACGCCAAATAAAAATAAAAATAAAGAAACATAACATTTCGGGGCCTTTTATATGCTCAGTGTTGAAGGCCTTAGGGTGACCTATTGTTGCTTACTCTGGTGGAGAACTGTCTCATTGGCAATCGAACCACATCATCTTATTCTTATACATGTATAAGCAATATTTTACAAAACACAACACAGGATTGAAAAAAAAACGAATTCCATCGAAACCCAGTGGTTAACTCAGGTGCTCCGGCAGGGAAAGTAAATCCTGATCAACACTAGTGACATCCGTACGCGTCGCGTTGCTCATGACAATAAAAATCTGACGATAAGTCGTTTAATTTCGTGTATTATAAACTAGGAAATGGGACAGTATATTGATAAGACAAATGAGAACAACCATACCGTATAGTCCGCTATAAAAGGCCCCGATATGAAAAATATGAACCAAATTCAACTGAGAAAACTAAGGGCCTCATTTATAACAAAACAATTTACGAAAAACAAATATGACACAAGATCCATTTCATGGTGTATATCTACTACAAAAGTAATTTACCATTTATGAAAATACCACTCAGTTGATTGGTTTTAATCTTTTTCATTCTTTTAAATAACTAACAAAATCATCTTTTGATGTAATGATTCTCGTATAATTGGTTATTCTTCCAGTTCAGAAAATATTATGGTTACTGAAAGCCTTCCCTTATGCACACCGTATAAGCTATAGTATGTACATCTTCTAAGCAGAAATTATTCAAAGAATTTACTGGCACATAAAAATGGTGGTTTTTTTTCAAACTAAGAACATGGCCTTGTATTATATGCAACATCATTATAGTAAAACCCAAAGTGGGGCGTCTGTTCTGCTGTGCGGGATGTACAAGTACGCAGCCACGTCCGGTCAAAATGGGGACGTTAATTCCGATGCCACGTGTAGAGATAGTGCCACGCTCTCTGCACGTTAAGAACCCTTGTGACAACCTTTGATAGGTCTGTAGGTGGCCTGTTGTAAAGCAAAATTTCTGTTCATATCCAATATACCCCAACTTTCCAGTGCAGTCCAAATATCACCGACCTTCAACTTGGACAATTAAAGTTAACCTCTATTACAGGACCTACCGAGTGTATTTATTTTTAATTTGTTCTCGTCCTTAACGTGCATAAAATATTTGTCGCTGGACGTTTAGCAACCAATAACTAATCAATCAATTTATGCCGACCTTTTTCCAAATCCAACCAAGTATAAAATCTAACAGAACAATTTTCAACAGCAAAAATCTTAACTTTATTGTAACATAAATCAAACAGTTGTTAATCGTTATTTGCGAGCATAATTGATAGACAAAGTAATGCTTACTTTGATTTTATTCAGAATGGTATCTTTAAATAGAGATATCACCAAAATCTTAATCGTCAAAATAAAACAAGATTATAATTTGTCAAATATAACACTCAATTCTGATATAATATTTATTTAGAAATTTAATCAGAGATTAAACTTGAACATCATCATATTCGCCTTTACGAAGTGGTCATTAGAGAAATCTGGTTAAAAGTAGCAGGAAGTGACCCCTATTGACTTATAGATGATGGTGTTTATTCATAACTTGTTTACCTTATTTGATAATTATAATTTCATGACGGTCAGTTGTTAACTACAGGAAACGTTCAACACGTTGTATATATCGCGTTGCACTATCTTAACTCTTACCCTATTTTCATTCTTTGTAATAAAAAAAAATGTCGCTTGTTTTTTAAATATTTTTTTTGTATAATCACAAAATCGAAATTTTCTAATTCGAGATTAAAAAACGTAATTTTAATCTAAATCGTCGGTTGAAATAAAAAAAAAATATATATCGATTGCTGTAAAAATAAAAAAAAACTTCCAAAATTTTCTTCTTTTTTGTTTATTCATTGGGTCAATAAGTCCTACAAGAAGTCATTTGATGGTTTCATTCATATCTACATTTTGAAGATCTTATATTCCTGGTCAAATATTTTCCTATTTGTCTATTGTAGTTTCAGAATAGGCAATCACTTGCGTTTCACCCTTAGATGCCCTTTCAGCCATGGCGGCCAGTTTGATGAGGTCCGAGCGTCTTTCCAACAAAATTTTCTCTATCCATCATGGTTTGATAGATATTCGACAATTACTTGAATTTACTTGTTCAATTTTTATTTATGACAGTCATGTTGGTTAATAAACGTGTTGTAGTTAATGTGCACTACTAACCGGTCAACTCGATCAGAGGTTGTGAGTTCGAATCAGCTCGTGACAAGGTTTGTTTTACTCCAATCTTTAATCAAAAGCATCCGAGTTTTTCTCTAGGCACTCCGGCTTCCTTAAACAATAGATATACTGATATAGCCAAAGTCGCTGAAAGTTGCAGTAAACGCCAGCAAACAAACATACACAACTTGTCCTTTAAATTACAAGTACCGTTTTGTGCAAACTAAAGACAAATTCTTAATTCCATAAATGATCTAAGTCAAAGACTGCTCAAATAAATTTATGCTCTTTGGTCGGGTTGTTGTCTCTTTGACACATTCCCCATTTCCATTCTCAATGTTATCAAATATTAACTTTATTATCAAATCTTAGTATATTCCAATTCATTGATCAATGCAGTTCGGCATTAATGATCCATCCAAAAAATAAGAAGATAAAGACTCGTTGTACATTTCAGCATGTCATAATATGTCATCGAATGGTAATAACTAGGGTTACGAATGTCGAAAATACAAGTCTCCCCGGTATATTAAAAAAACTTTTGATCAGTGCATAAGGTTCACAAGACAACACTTCAAAATAGTTAACTCCTGTTTTGTGAGATTCTTGGTTTAACGTAGAAACATAACAGATCAGTAATCAAATATTTGATTTCTGCATAATGGTATTAAGCTAACAACCAAAAAGTGTCTTAAGAATGTACTTGTATATACTCGTAGTCATGAAAATTGAAAGTCAGATATCAATTTGCCAGAAAACCGTAGTAATATATGGTTAAAACACCGAGTTGTTTTTTTACACGTAGGAACATTCGAAAGCAGCAATTTCTTCAGTTTGGCATCTTTTTGTTTAAAAGCTTTTAAAGAGGTGAATCTAATGTTAAGTATACATTTACTGTAATTTCAGAAATCCTTATACATGTAGAAAGGGTTCATAACTTTCATCAAATGACTTTTTTCTATTAACCATTACTTAAGCTTGAGCACTAAGGATTTCAATCATTCCATTTGTTTTTGTTACATATCAACACAACTCATTTTTATTGTGCTTGATACAGCTATTTTTATGTGCTATCAGTTTTTGATATTATTATTCATGTTGGCAAAAAGTGCGAGAGAAAGAAATGCCTTCCCTGTGTGATTCAATTAAAACGGGCATCTGAAGAAATGTATTGAATTAGAACATGAACATGCAGAAAATTCATTGTAACCTGCAAATGCCATAAACAATGTTGCTGGAGGTTTATAGTTTTTATCAATTACGCCCTTCTTAAAATATAAAAAGTATGAACATGGCAATTCAATGGTACTGTGAAATAAAGCAATGACATCTAATAATCCAATCTAGTAGTTAATTTTCCACAAAACCTACCAAGGCAATGATCAGTTTAATTATCAAATTAAATTGTTAACAACGAACATTTCCCACATAAAAATGGATCTGCAAAATCGAACAACTGATGTTCTTAAACCCTGCTGACTGCCATTGGCGATTGCCAAATAAACGGATCACCGATGTAATAAATGGATCTCAATTATAAATTGAATACTAAACAGAAAACAATAAACTTGCGGAAAAGATGGTATACCGCAAACAAAAGGTGCAAAGGTTTTTGTACACCATATCCGGATTTCGACAATTAATGTCTCTTCAGTGATGTTAGGAATCGAAACGGTATTTGGAAGGCCATATAATTTACATCAATTTAGGATAGACTCTTGAATTTTGAAAGAGTCAAAATAGGATGAACGGATCATATAAACCCGAAGGCAAATATAATACAAGCCCAAACGAAAAAATATAAACAAGTCTAAATTGAAAACAACGTTCTATCGTATGATTGCGTTGGATAAAAACCGCAATTTATATTATATATATACAGCCAGAAAATATAATTATCATACATGTAAGATAATTTTAGCATAACCCGTTTAGACCCAAAAGTGATACTTCACTGTAAAGTGTGTCCGTCAAAAGGTAGCAAATCTAGTTAAGAATGCTTTTAAGAGTTAAATCTAATGTTAAGAATACATTTACTCTAATTCAGAAATACTTATACATGTAGCAAAGGCTCACAACTTTTAAATTTATACAATATAAAATTTACAATTATCTAACCTGGTCAAAACTAATCAAAGATACCAGGCTTATAACTTAGTACGTAAGACGCGTATTTGTCTACATAAGACATAGTAAAGGCATCACGAATTAAAGGGCATTGATATCCAAAGTTTCAAAAAGTTGTGCCAAACCTTGCTAAGGCCATCTAGGTCTTGGGTAGAAAAACCTTAGTGTTTCAAATGATTTTAATATCTTATAGATATTTAATTAACAG